AGGCCTACTGGGTCAAACTGGCTGGTCTATAGAGGAATGAAAAATGTATACAAATGAGACAGTACCGCCCACTATTCGCAAGATACGACAACGTTAATTAGCGAGTGGGATGCTGGACCCGCTTCGAGTAGCTACGAGATACAACCAAAGAGAGAGTAGCTTCCAGGCAGTGCCATCTACGTGCTTTACGAGTTGTGGCTTTGGAGTAACCGGTCTTTGGATGCTGAATACGATACTGAATTTATGAGATCTGTTGGATCAATTCGTTCATAAATAAACTCAAATTTAGTCAACTGATTACCAATGGCTGTTAAGATAGGACCAAAAATAAATTATAAAGTTGTAATTTTTATATACAAACTTTTTAAAAATATCCATCCGAAAAAATCAATGATAAGAATGAACTTTTTTTTTCATATTTATTTAACATTTTTTAATAATTACAAACCATAATTTTGTATTAAAAAAAAAAACTAAAAAGTGAGAGACAAGGTATCTCGCACTTCCCATGGGGTGGTAACAAATAATGCGTAATACCAGGCTTCGTGACTCGTGAGATGCTCCGGAAGATATGTAGCGACCCTTGACTTCCTGGCAAGAGATCAGCCCGCGGACTCTTGGAGTCGGTACGGACGAAGGTTTTGCATTGCAGTTGCATTCCGTGTAACGGAGATGCATTATTATTGGCGGCTTGGTATACAGCGAGTAAGCGCGGCAGTCAGCGGTTATAAAAATGACGAAAAAAATGAGTAATTCGGCATATCGGTGTATACGCGTGGCTATAAAGGTAGTTCAGTAATGGACTGGAGTTCCCGACAAAGGCTTTATTTAAATAACTCGTGGCACCGTAACGGCCCATACTCAAATCCAAAGACGTGCGAGCAATATTGCCAGGCTAACTCTCCAATTGCATCTCCCCGCGTGGTTATATGCACTCATATGCACCGCTTATGCACTCATAATAAACCACTTGCAATGTCAAATATGTTTATTGCACTTAACGCAAAGATATTTGGACTCACGGACGGGTATGCGTGTATGAATAGGACCCATAAAAAATGCATGTCCAATTTTAATAATAATGACAAAATTTTCGTGGACCCTTTTTCGGGTACCGCGAGAAAGATGGATCTACTTTGAACCGATTCGTAAATATGTGGAATAACATTACAAGTTAGACGTTAAACGCCATCGGCTTTTAAAGTGCGAGGCGGCTGCATTACGAGTCGATTGGCTGAAAAAATGCAGAGGTGTATCAGGGTTGGGTCCTGGGTGAGGATGATGAAAAATTAAAAAGAAATGTCCACGTGTGGGGGCTGTGTGGGTTTGCGAACTCTGCAGTAGGGTAGAGAGCGCAAGCGTACGCGAGAGCATAAGTCAGCTCGTTATGTTACGGATGGGCCTGACGGGGGCTTATGGGCCTATGGTCCTATGAAAGGTCAGAAGGCCTCTGTTCCAATTTTGTGCCCAATAAGACTAATTCCTTCAAAGGGACCGCGGTATTGGGTTTGAAAACTTATTGCCAAATTTTACGTAAATTATTGGATACCCGCGTAAAGGGACCGTTTACAAGACCAACTGTCTAGGTCTGTTGGGTTCGTTTGCTACTTGTGAGTCCTGATGTTGCAGTTTTGGTATTGGTTGTCCAATTTTTGAATTACGACGACAAAAATTTTTTTTGACAACCGTGTATGTATATATTAGATGTATATATATATATTGTATATAGAAATGACTGTTTTTGGAATTTTTTGACGTTCGACTCGAGAAAGATTTTTATTTTTGAAATTAAGAGGTCGTTCGAAAGAACTCATTTTGGGAGTTTGAAAGAATTTTGTATGCCCTTTATTTGTTTATTTATTTCTTCTTTCGATGTAGCCATGGATGAGACATTATGTACAAGTGCGTCCAATTGATCTCCAGCTGTTCATAGAATGATCTATGGTGGAAAACGTGTGCGTCAAACACAGCAAATAGAGAATTTTGCATAATTTCCCGCATTCCAACCACATTTTGGGCGACTCTCCCTTTGACTTGTAAGTAGTGGCTGGCCGCTGCTTGACGGCCACTGGCCCATTTCCAAAGTTATGCAAAGGACGCATTCACTCGCTCAATAAGGTAATCAGGAAGATATTTGGAGCATTTGTGAGTCTAATGAGAGAGCAGGCATTTTCCATGGTGCTGTCTCGCTTCTGAATGAACAAAAGTTGTGGTGGTGCTCAGTTTTCGAAATTCTCAGACTCGTCACTGTTAAAAATAAGAATTTTCGCTGATCCATCTCAATATCGTCTCAGTAAACATAACTTGCACAATACAAGTTCAGCTATAATAACATACGTTCCCATATCGAATAACAAAAGCTATAGGCATGGATATTACATAATCATATAAAACATATAGTCTTGATAGTAATTAACAAAATTTATATAAAACATATATCGCCTGCGTAACGTAACCATTAAAAGTCTCGCAATAACAAATTTCGAAATGTCTGTTAGCGTCTAAGCATTCGGCCATCTACTGCTTTAACGTAGAGTATGGTTCGAGGCGTTGAATGAAAAATTTCCCGGTCTCATAACAGCGTGACTTTTTGATTCGGGCAGATGAGCACCGCTCAAAATTTCTATTAAAACTGGCAATTAGTCTAAGTCCCAATAAATCTTGGTGAGTGATACCAGTGCATCAGTCGTTGTCAAAGGCGCCCGCGGCGCAGGACCTCACACTCGGTGGTGCCCGGACGGGATTTTCGAGAGCGACCGTGTTTTGAGTAATGGCTGGCATGTCGTTGTTATGTTAAACTAGGTGAGAACCAGGGTTGCGCTCCATTAGAATTTTTAATGCGCCCGTTTAGTGGCCAGCCGTTCGAGCGGGGTTTTACTGCTTTGCCTTTCTCCTCGCGCAGTGTCCTAAACACTCTTGCCAACTTGCATAAAAATTTTTTACTATTTTTTTTATCAGCACGCCAAACGCTCTTGTGTACAGAATCACAATATTACATAATTTCGTTAACGACGAATAGTATAAGTGACCGCTTAGTATTCCAACTCGGCCACAGTAAATAAGTAAACGTACCGATATATTTGTTGCGCAATGCTAAATAAATATTGCGCAAAATTGATAGAGAATAATACATAATAAGGAAATATTAATATAATTTTAACTCGGTATAAATGAATTATCCTCGTGCCTTTGGAATGAATGTAAAAAAAAACCAGCGAATCTAATTAAAGCAGACGTGTCTAACCTCAGTAGTGAAAAATCTCTGAAGTCATCCCAGAGTGCAATTTCATGGCAGCCATAACTCAGTTTTCCGAGCGAAGTAAAATTTTCTGTAAGGGAAACAAAAACTCGAGGATGTCAAGTTGAGAAAGGGACTCGGAGCGAGAAACCAAGGGTTCCGAAATCTAATCAATTCCTTCCACGTTATACCGTAGTACCTGTGACTCGTCCATAAAAGTGTCTTTCTTCCAGTCCCATTTCCTCGGCCAATCACGTCAAGCCGTTTCCACTGGATCCGCCAATCGCGACTGTTTCCAGGACACCGCAAGTCACGCGCATTTACCCGATCCTAGACAATGGATGAAAAATGCGGGACGGAAATATTGAGACTGGCTTTGTCTCGGTGCCCAAGCGAAGCCGAAGAAAGACTCGGAACTAAAACGACTTCGCAACACTTCTTTCTCGGAGATGACACGCTACTCTGTTCCGTACGCTAATTGTCAAATGGCTCCTTCTCCTTTGCCTCGTAGCACTGGTTGGCAGGTGGCCTTCGTTGGCATCCGTGCTAACTGCTAACTGGATGACGGATGTATTTGTTATTGTCGTGACGGTGGACAGTAGCCAAAATGACATCGACAGTATGGATTACAAAAAAAAAAAGAAAAATATATTATTATAAAAATGATTAGCCGTTTATCAACATAGATTTAAGATTACTCTGGATTAAATATAGCATTGGAATAATTTTGATTGATCATGAGCAATTGAAAATGTATCGTATAGATGTAGAGGTAGAAAAATATACTTTTTTATGATTGGACACAATGGAGGGTTGATTTGCAATGGATGAAGTTACGATATTTTTTTGGACGTGTCTGATTTTTTCCTAGGATGGTTAGAGCAGGTTAATGTGCATTAAGGTTCGATTATGATTGATGATAAGTATTGATGATATTCATTAAGCGTCTACCAAAGAGATTTGTGTTATGTAATGCCGATCTTCATCCCTTAAATCTTAGAGCACTCTTCACCTGAGCTGGACCGGTACAATATTTGCAGCGGCCCCATTGTGACCTGAGGACGTCCTGCTTCGACTCCGGTGGGGTCCTTCAAGACCCAAACTGAAAGCCAAGACCCCCCATGGACCTCAAGGCAAGGCGCTACCGTGCACGAGATTTACAGCCCCGGCCCCGGACTTTATAGAGTCCCATAAACTTTATACGCCCCATCATACGTTCATTATGATTTTACTTCTGGACATTGGCCCGCTGTAAATATTCTTCCTTCAGGAGCTCGTTCTTCACGTAATTTGCCCCGTAACGTTTTCGTCAAAGATTTTTGGGCCTTACTAACCTTCGCTGGTCGCTATTGCCATCATCGACAGACCCTTGTCTCGCACTTTCAAAACATTCCGGGAGACCAGTACTTAGTTTCCACTTTGACGTAGCAGATCTACCTTTTACTTAATAAATTTTGGGTCTGATATATTTATGGTTAACGTTACAGGGTAGTTATTGCAACTCCTCTTTGCTCGTAATCGATTACATTGGTGCTAGTGTACATTTACTCGAGTCGAAACCCTTTACTTCATCCATTGCTTCAGTACAGTACACAATATTGAAAAATATCTTATCACGAGCTATTTGCATAGAAAAAATTTCAAGAACCATCAAAAAATATATATTATAGAAATTTTGACTCTTAGATTGATGCTTGAAAAATTACTCAGAAAAACGTTTTGCTCCAATTTCACGGAATAATTAGTAATATAAAACTACTCCTAAATGGGTCTCCAATTTCAGTCTTACGGCACGTACCGATATGACTGAAAAAGCCAAGAGAAGCAAAAGGGGCCTCATGTAAGTAGGCCTATAGTATATCGGTGTGGTTATTTCAGCCGAACGGGCACGTTCCGTAGGCGGTCCCAAAGTCCGGGACGCCCATTGTAAAGTTCTTAGTTACCAACCACGTGGCAGGGCGTACCCAATGATGGGTCCCCTCGTACCAAGGACCCAACAATCAGCCCCACGTTGATGCCAGGTCGTGGAACACCCTGAGCATACGAGGAAGAGACCCCAAGTGGCTGAGCGCACTGACACGTTATTGCTGCGAAACCCTCGGAACGAAAGCCACGCCGGCACTACAACTTCCTTTAGCTTTACTTCTACTTCCCTACCTCTTCTTCCATCCACTTCTTCTTTTTCTTCCTCCTTTTCCCCGGTTCACTCTCCATCCCTCTTCACGAGCACTTCCGCCTCTTATTGCTCCACTTGGCCGATAGGCCGATACGCAGCCCAGTAGGACACAGTGCATTTATCCTCGGTGGTGTTTTAAGACCGGCATTTTCTTCTTCTGCATTTTTTTTAATTGCAGTCGATTCCTCTTAACGTACCGTGTGAACAGACCCTTACTCGCGCGTGGCTTGTGTGACTTTCTTCGACAGTGAGTGACGGTATCTGGATAAATTGTGAACAATATGGACGTGACCAGCGGTATGAGGCCAATTTTTGGTGGATATCCATTCCAAGGTATTTATATGAATTTCGTTCGTTCGATTAAAATTTATCAAATAATTAAACTATCTGAAACAAAACAAGATATTATGCAATTTAAGTAGACAGATGAGTTTTTAGATAATTTTATAAATTTTGAAAATCAGACATTTTTGTTCAACCTTTAAAAAATTAGTATTAAAAAAAATGTTTAGACCCAAAAAATTAGCAGTTGGACTAGTAGAGAAAGTTTATTAGAACTCAACTTGAATATAGAACAAATCTGGTCACAGTCGAGATCAATAATGAAACAAAAATTTTACGACTTGTACTCATAAGACTTAATACTACGGATGGTTATAATTTAGACAGTTTATCGAGTCGCTTCGAATCGTTACTATTAGACCATTAATGAAACCTATCGCGGGTACAGTGGTGGCTCGTTCAATTGATTATACGCCTATTATCTTAATAAAACCCACTGGAAATCAGTTTATTAATTAACCAACATATTCAACCTACTATTTACTTTATCTTTGTATTGTGACTTATTTATATGATTACGCTATGCTAATTAGTTATCAATTAGATATTTAAAAAAAGGTTATTCATTACAAGCCTATAAAAAAAGAAATACGATAATTAATAAAAATTTCTTAATTCGCTTTTATTACGCAATAAAATTTATTACCCCAACCCAATTAGCACGTTCTACAATATTTATATCCTTTCGTATGAAAAAACATGAACAATTTTTTTATCCGAATTTCTTTTATCTCCCCAGAATTCAATTACAAAAATAATTACTGTTCATTCTATAAAAGCGTGTCACACGTAATTTAGAACGGTGTGTGCTACAGAAAGTTAATTAACGACATGGCAATAAATGGGTAATCAGTAGGTATCCGCATTCACACGAATTACGAGTTCAGCAATTATCCTTTATGAAATTCCGATTACGCGGACTCAGTTCCGAAATTGGTAAAGACAGTTATTAGGCGGTTCCCCTCCTTTCCCTCGTCAGCCCCCCGTCTACAGGAGCTAATGACAGCGTCACAAATGATCGTGTGCGTCCACAGTGTAATTCACCCGGACGGCTAATTACTTACACTATCCTCTAGAATTCTCTTGTTAGTCCCGGAAATGACAAGTCACGCCCCCCCCATCCCACCACCCCTCTCATAACTCCTTCAATTTTACGGCGTTTAGCTTCTTTTCGGCAATTTAACCCACGCGCCTCCTCTTATCTGATTTTGCCTTTTTACACGGTGTCTGCCTATACTCGTTTCACCACGTGTAATCGTTCGTAACGCGCGTATAACGGGACGATAATTTTTTACTGTTGATAACGAAAATTTATATAAAAAAATTTTATCACTTATCCACGTTCCCGCATGATATAATTTATCGTTTGATTTATGAGATAATGTAAAATTGTTTCAATAAAAAAAAATGGATCTTTTACCTTACAGGTCAGGGAAGAATGAATCAGCTCGGTGGGGTCTTCATCAACGGTAGACCATTACCGAATCACATTAGACTGAAAATTGTGGAAATGGCAGCGGCCGGTGTCAGACCATGTGCTATATCGAGACAGCTACGCGTGTCTCATGGCTGCGTCTCGAAGATCCTCAATCGTTATCAAGAGACAGGATCTATCAGGCCCGGTGTGATTGGCGGGAGTAAGCCGAGAGTAGCCACACCGGAAGTCGAGGCACGGATCGAGGAACTTAAAAGAGATAATCCTGGAATCTTCAGCTGGGAAATACGCGATAAGCTTATGAAGGTGAGCTGCTTTTATAAGCTGTTTAGTAAATCGATCTGCCACGGTATATTATGTACATATCTGTATATTACATTTCAAAGAAAGAACGCGACAGCTATGGTAAATACGTACTGAGATACATCTTGGAAAATTTTATACGAATATTTAATATGGACAGTAACGAAGTGTTGTGGAGATTGTAGTAAACTTAAATTTTATTAGACATTTTTTTCAGACAAATTTGCCATTTTTATCACATAGGAAAATATTAAAAATTTTAAAATGGTGATTGTTCATTTTGGAAAATACAGTGATTCTATTGAATGTTTTGTTTCACGATTGTTTGTATACCTAAAGAAAAACTACGATTTATTTCCAAAATCCTGGAAAGTCGATCTGCCGATTTGCACGGCGATTCTTTTGGTCTGCAGTGAATGGGCCTTTTTAATATTGTGTATGAGGCGGTACGTGGTTTGGAGGGGTCCATAGACCCCGGGGCGACTCGCGTGTCCTCTAATAGATCCTACCCGCCGCCTCTACACCCACACCTCATTGGCGTATGCTCCGAGTATAGGGCTTGGATATTTCATTGAACCCAAGAACAATGTACCAGTATAGACTAAAAAATTTTCAAAATTTTATCTCCCTGTTAAAAAAAGTTCCCCCTCCAAAAAAACCCTGTTTAATAATTCTCATGAATAAATTCCAGTATTAATGTACATTTAAAAAAAAAAACGGATCGTACACCCCTAGCAAAATATGTCCTAATAAAATATCGAAAATTATTCCTGAATTATAATATTCATCATTTTTAAGAGGAACCGGCCTTCTGGCTGGGTCTGATAGAGAGATAAATTGAATTTTTACGTAAGAAAAAGAAGCATGATAAAAAAAGCTACTCCGAAAATCAAGGGTGTAAAAGAGGAGCAAAATTGCGTATAAACGGAGCGGAAGAAGAAAAGGAAGAAAAAGAGAAGAAGCGGGACACCCTATCGTTTCGAAATCTTGTATACGCCGCTGCAAGGAGGCACAAGCAATCGGGCAGGTAAGGCAGGTAAAAGCAGGCAAAGAGGCAAGCAGGCAGCGTCCGTGGCCGGCATTAATACGGCATTTAATGTTGGAAGGAGGCGTTCCTGAGCCTGGGGCTCTCCTCTCCATCTCTCTTTCCCTGTCATCGCCCCGGCCAAGATCCTCGCCACGGCTCGTACTCGACTCGTCGTTATTGTTTCTGAGATCCGCGATCGACGATCGCCGATCGGACCGTGATCGTACGATAGCGATCAGCCCTAGACCGGTAATGCGGGAACCTTTGTTACCGCCCAGCGTTTCTGATTCCGCACTCGATACGCAAACGTGGATCGAATATACTTGGTTACAGTTGCAATGTCTCGAGAGCATTTCATATTTCTTGAATTCGAGAGTTTCTGGTACATCTGGGATACGCTTGGTTCTGGTAGTATAACATGATATTGTTTTAAGGAACTATTTTTGATTTGGTTGAATTTTTTTGTCTTTTTTTTGTAATTTTCAATTTATTTTCTGTCTAGGAAGGATTTTCGGATCCACCCAGTATCAGCTCCATAAGCAGACTACTGCGAGGGGGACGACCTAGCGACGATGGTAAAAAGGATTATACTATCAACAGTATACTAGGTGGTGGTAAGTCTTATTACAATTTTAAATTATAGTTTATTAGCACAATAAAACTTGTGAAAATTGCCTCAGCTAAAGTTACAAAGCTAAATCGAAAGCTGAGTGACAAAAACGAAGAGTGACGTAAGTGAAATAAAAATAAAATACCGAGAATGGAAGGAGGAAAGTCGGCGAATCCGACGTCTGAGAGGACGAGGAGCTTTTAACCCGCATTCTCTCTCATCGGTGAAACTTTGACGCGTTCCCTCACGATGTCGGAGTTTTGGTCCTGCAGGCTCAGTCGAGCCAAGCCTCGCCGGCGGATTTAATCTCCGGTGGGCGTGAGCTGGATTAGCCAGGTTGCCCACACGTCCGACAAACGGATTACAGGAGTGTCAATATCTTATGGGGCACACATTATCCTTACCCCACCTCCAGAGTCTATCTTCATCTTTCTTCCACACTGCCTCCACTGTGATCTGGCTTGTCCACCATTTGTGTTTCTTTCATTTTTGATCTTCTTTTTACGTCAACCGGAATGCATGGATTTATCGCAAAGAATTATCTTGATTCCCTCGAGACGACTGGGACAAACGAAATTTGTTGTTATGATGCTTAAAAATTTGCAACTTCATTGTTGCCATGATTCTATTGTATAAGAATTGTGAACTCAATTGCTTTGAGGGTACAACATGCGTTTGCTGTAGGTACTGCAATAATTTAGGAATAATATGTACTAGATGTAATGTACCTGTCGGGAGGTACAAGATAGTCTCACGTGTTTGAGATAAATTAGGCGAATCTGGAAATCTTGTAAAGGATGGTTAACAAGTCGCTGGTATTTAAAGAGGTACAGGTGTGCTCAAAGGGTGAAAAATTGGAATGAGAGAGTCGCAGGATCGTGAACTGTCGAAAAGACAAGAAAAGAGTAGAGAGCCAAGAGGAAAGAGCCCAAGAGCCAAAGAGCCAAGAGCCATGAGGCCCGAGGGCCCGCGAGAGTCCCGCGGAGATCAAACGAGCCGCCTGCCACACGTCAGCAGTGGTGCTCACTTAGCATCCCTTGATACCTCAAAATATAATGATACACTTGCATAAAAAAAAAACCATCCCAAAAAAGTTTTCAGCTTAACATATTTTGTGGAAAAAAAAAGAAATAAAACATTCCGTATTAAACTACAAGATAAAATGGACCATTCATTTTAAGTTAAAACTGATGTCTCTCTAAACTGTAAAATTCAAAAAAGATACAATTTCAGTTAAGAATATCTAACAACAAGCACGCTTATGAAATTGTACATGACCCATACCAAAATCAAATAAAAGGAAATCCAATTTTCTTCTGAGATAAAATATAAACTTTGATGAGCAACAAAGTTGAAACCAGAATTATCCTTGATTATTCATCTCCAAGAACCTTATCCGTAGCAATGTCAGGAAACTCAACAAATTGTCCTTCAGCTCCAATTACCAGGTACATAGTATCTTGTAACTCCAGCAGTGCCTGATTGTCAGCGTTGAGATACACGAGGAAAGGCATAAAGTGTTGGATAGGTATAAAAATAGGTGAAAAAAAAGGAAAAGGAAGAGGAAGTATAAATGATGATAGGGAGCACCTCTGTAGTAGATAGCAGGAGAGCATAAGACCGTGTGCATACGTATACGTGATATATATATACCCACATATATAGATAGGTAGATGTCGGTCGGTCCGGGTATAGGTGTCGGCGGTCGAACAGGAATGACACGTAGCCTGTGGCTTTCTTATTCCTTCTTATTCCCTTCCTTTGGCCTGGCCGCCGACGAGGGATTAGCCTAATGGGTCCTCCCCATCGGACCCCACGTGTATAATATGTATATATCCATAGCAGCCCCACGAAACCCCACCCACCTACACAAGCATCCTCTTCAAGGAACACCCGAGCCACTAAGTGATTCACAATCAGGCTTATTGATTGTATCGGCGATCGACGATCGGTCCGATCCATAGAAAACATTCGGGGATGATAGGTGTCTGTAACATATAACGCGAAAAAGGTTAGGTCAGTCCAAGACCCTACTCGCCGTGTAGAGCACGTTAATTAAATGGGCCTAATTGGCCAGGTGGGCCCACGCTTCTCACTTAACTCACTTGTCTCGTTTCTAGTCACCATTAAGGCGAATTATCGATAAACGAACGTCACGCAGTAATTGAATACTGTTAATTCATTAATTGTCTTATGATTTTATCAACGTCGCATTTGTATCATTAACAAACACCGAAACTAACCTTTTGTTGGATCGAGATATCATACACATAACCTCCATTCGATATGAATTCGTACTATTATACACGTATACTTTATTACACACTGCAATTGAATATCGACCGTACTTCTGTGGCTGTTGATATAAATTATTTTATATGCAAACTCCATCTTCCTTAAGAGCAAAATTTATGCATTCACAGTCCACTAAAAAGACGCGCGCTTTCCGAGCAAAGATAAATGGCTGTCTGCGAGGCCTGATTTTTCGGAAGCATTACAAGAGGAAGCCATACACTGGCACACGAAGGGTTGTTGAGCCAGGTATCGTATCGTGTATCTACGGTATTACACGAGTCAGGCTGGCACCAATATCCCTGTCACGAGAATATAATCCCCCAAGAGGTTTGCTTCGGGGTATCTTCGGTCTCCATCGCTACGACACCACACGACGCCCACCGCTAGTAGATTATGGCACAGGTTGGCACGCCTGTTTTCCGTCCGCTCTATAGATACGCGTATACCCTGGGCATTTTAGTCTGGACAAGAAAGACAGAGGGAGTTAACTTCAAGTCGCGATTTAATCGGTACACTCAGTTATGGCAGTTATCGCCCAAGAATGCTAATTTTATTACGGAAACGGAAAAAGGAACATGCTTGACGATGGCATCGGTGGCATTCTGGGCTAATTTAATAATTAACCTATCTGCTGTACAGAAGGTGTTCGTCGATCATCAGATTGGATACTTTTCATCTGTGTTGAAATCTGAGAATGTACGGTATTTCCGATATATCTCCGTTTCGTTTTTTCGATTTTTCCACACTTGAAAAGTCAAGTATTCGTTTTACAAGTGACGGGCAGTGAGTGATTTCTTATGGATGAGGGACCACCTATGAGGTTATGGTAAGTGTCAATGGTTGTAGTATACAGGAGGTTCTGTCATTCGGGGGCTTGTAAGAGGGACTTACAATGTAGGAAGGTGTATCTGGTACGATAGAATTTGGCCATTTTACCATTGTGGTATCTATGAGTATATACAGTGTGTCGGCTAGCTATAGGGAAACTATGAGAAATGCTGACGCAGCAACGGCAGTGAGCAGCCATTGCTCACCCCGGGCGTTGACAGCAAGACACACCGGCCCTTCGATGTCAACGAAGCCGCGGACCATTGTGCCGTTTGAAGGCATTTGTTACCATTTAGGACCTCACACGCTTGGACCCCCAGGACGACCCACCGCCTAGATTTATAACCTACGATGCGCGGCTTCCTTTCGGGCCATTCAGTCCCACCGATTCGACACGCGAACACCAAAGGAAGGAAAGGACCCTGATTTCCGAAATTCTGACCTGATTGAGGACCCGTTTTGCCACTGTGCAGTCTTGGAATTGCTGATTACTTTGAGTGGCTTTGGGATCATTACTGAGATCGGAATGATTAGTGTCTGAACTATTCGGGGTCTTCATGCTGGAGCGGTAACAGAGGCTGGGCCCATTGATGTATTTTAGTAATAGATATTGGCACAAGTTTTTTTTTTAATATACCATAAGAATTATATACTTAGCGCAGATGTGATTTCAGTGGAAGGTTTAATTATTGAAAATCATTGAGAAAGACTGTCTTTAATTGACTTTAGGTCCTATGGGATGGAAAGGATTGAAAGGATATTCTTTTAAGGATTTTCTCGTGACATACTCGTCAAGTTTATCAGAACGGGATTGCCAGGAGGCGCGAGCGCGTCTATTAATAAGCTTGTAGGATCGTCAAGGCTGGCTATAACGGATTGGTAAAAGTGGGCCCGACGGGGCCCATGAGCCGACGGGTCGATCCACCGACGAGCCTCAGCAGGGATGCTGACCAGCACATTTCTGGATGACGTTGCTCCGAAAGAGATATTTGCTCTCGACTCTGCAGGCCCCCCCCCCCCC